TTTTCTTGGGGCTCTTGGGATTCTCTCCCGTCTCTCCTCTCTTGTCTTCCCTTCTGGATCATTTTCGAACATCCAGCCGAGAAACACGGAATCCACTGTTGAGACTTTGGCTGCCACCAAACTACCAATAACGATGCCATCAGTGATGCCCAGGATCTCAAGCGAAGGATTGTTACGACTGCCTTGGGTCAACAATGCTGATTCGCCTGACTGCACCTGCACCTGGCCAGCCCCGTCATTGCCACACACACTTGTCACCGGGACCATTTCAGGTACCAAGAAGTCATTGAAGGTCGATTCGTACAGCAGTGCAACTGGTGCCTCTCATTCGACGACTGACTGCATCAGAATCATCGTTCTATACAATCCGGGCTCCATCTGAGCCCCCTCTCCCCGTCCCGTGGCCCGTTAGATGGCATGGAACCCAAATTTTAATCTCCCTGGCCGGGACTGCGAGGACCATTCGCAGAGCATGCCTTATATTGTTCTTGCAATTGCGGTGATTTGATTGTCATTAATGCCTAACTAGCCATACGACGCCGGGACTGCCCTTTTTCCCCGTTCCTCACCACTCTCGTACTCAGTCTCTCTCGCCTACAGTCCAAGTTCTCCTAGTCCCAAACACTCGCTGGCTTGTTTCGCATCTTGACACTAGATCTCCCGTGCTCCATCAAACAACGGATATAAATCATTGAGATCCCTATCTCTGCAATTAACTACCTTTATTTTCCGTACCTTCTTTCTGCCCTCCAAGTCGATTCAGTTTCTTCACACTGATAATTATTGATCGTTGATCGTTCAATTTTGGTCTCCTTCTTTCATCCCTTCCTTCATTCCTTTACGGTTGCATTTTCAGTGGTCTTCACGTCCAATTTGAATTTTGCTTATTTTTTCTTTGGGGTTATTATTATTTTTATTATTTTGTCTCTCTTTCGCCCCATCCCACCACCACCACCCACTTTAGTGGCGCAGCCCAACCTCAGCGCTAGAACCTCAACGGACCCCCGGCGCGGCGCTTGCGATTCCTTTTTCCACCAAACCACTCACAATCGAACACCCCCCTTGCTGGTGTCGCTGCAGGACAACGGCCTTGCGATCTTGACGTAATTGCCCCGTGGCGTGGAATTGGGTCTAATTTCCTTTGGGTCCTAAGGTCCTAAGATTATTATTATCTATAACTGCCCTTACTTTTCTGGACTATTTTTTTTTCGGATCTTCTGGAATTTTTTTTCTCTGGGGTTTCCTTTTAACTTGGCCTGGTTCCGCTTCGAAGTTGTCGCCAAATCCCCAGCCCTAGAAAAAGCTCCCTTGACGGGATTCATTCAGCTCCGGCCTTCCAGTCAACCGTGACTAGTACTCTCATCCCGCAATTTCTAACACCTGCTTTCATACAACACTCACTCGACTCGACGTCCGATAATCACCATGTTCTCCTGTGCCAACTATCCTCGTGGCTGCCGTGGCCGTGTGAACATTAATGGCGGCAAATGCCCCGACTGTGTGGTATGTTCGTCCCCGCCGGAAGCTTACTTTGCCCACTGCCCACCTCCTACTCCCACCTTATACTGACTCATGGACCTACAGCAATTGAAGCTCCGTCACCCTCGGTCAACTTCCCCCTTCGCCCAACCCAGAGATTACCGTCGAGCCCTGCCGTCGGAGATCCTGAGCGACTCACCATACAAGGAGATGATCGACCGCTGCGCATGATGAATGACCTGATGGCAACATTGCGACGGGCAGGGGCGCAACGGATTATCTCCCGGATCTCTATCGATTGAATGGCGGGGGTCCTGCCGGCTGGGACCGATCCCCGGAGGCCCTTGTGCCCTCGTCCACTTTTGCTTCGCTTTTCTTTTGCATCTTAATCATGTGCTCGGACTGAAATGCATTTCTGGGAGTTTGGATCGATCATCTTCGGGCTGAGAGCGGCGTGAGAGCGGCTTTGTCGCATCTCGACCGATCGCAACGGTCGGACGCCTCTTTTTTCTTTGCTTGGCTACGCGCTCGCCATCGCCCGCCATCACTCGCCAACGTGGTATCGCCATTTCCGACGGACCCTTCCGAAAGTTGGAATGCGCATGGACATCTGCGACGCGATTCTTGTCATCGTGTTTCGCATCGGCAAACCGGAGTCACAGCATTGGGTCTACAGGGGTTCCTTTGGGTTGGTTTACTGGGTGGTTTATGCGGGTTGACTGTGATTTGGGAGTCCCGGAATGGTCTATCGCTGGTCTACAGCAAAGACACGACAGGGATCTGAGTACCTCTCGGTCTTCACGATGATCAGTCGATCTTCTGGATGGCGCCAAAGAAGAGAAGTCAACTTGGCGCGCACGCAACTGGAAATCTCTGCTGCGGGCGGGCAGTGGGCGCAGGTGGAATTCTTTTTTTTTTCTTTTTCTTTTTCTTCTCTCTTCTTCCTTCTCACTCTCCTTGACTTCCCCCTTTATCCCCAGGTCCTTCTTTTGTGCGTGGTCATCATCACGACTTCATCAGTTCATCCTGACATCGTCTTGTAATTCTTCTCTTTGTCATGTCTCTGCTGCTTTCTTTGTTATAATATGCGTTGGCCGATTTACCCATACCCAATTCGGCTACCTGTACGATCCAAGGTACTTCCTTTTTTCTACTTGTCATACTTGAATATACCCTATTTCTTTTTTTTTTTTTTTCTCTTAGCTATGATCATGATTCGTGTCTCGAAAGTAGGTAGCCGTCTTTAACAAAGAAAGCCCGAACTTCGCACCTATTAGCTGGTCCCTACTAGCTGCCTGAAACGGACACCGAGTGAGCAGACGGACGGGTTGGGTGATGGGTGATGTATGGTGACACCATTCCTCGGTAGATCGATGACCCTCTCGGGATCTACCTTGAACCCTGCTTTGCCCCTCTCTTACTTTTGCTTCGGCATGTTTCTACGCTGGTCTGTTGTGAGCAGCTGATCCCTTCCGTCTTGGAGCCCGTGATGCCTGCAGCAGCAGCAGCAGCATCTCACCACTTGCTTGGAAGTACTGTACCTTTGGACTGTCCATGTGACCGGTCCTTCGAGCCAAGAACCCCGCAGAGTAGTACGGTGGTATTGTCGTCGTCGTAGCCTGGGAGTCGAAGTCATCATGAATCAACCATTAGTAAGGACCAGTCCCGAGGACCATCCGTGCGCCGTAACTTATTATCCGTCACCGTCAGCTGTCATTCGTTTTTGGGTGAGTGGGCGTGCGCGCGCAAGGCACGAATTCCCGGGCTCCTCTTCCCCTCAGCTCCCTTCTTGTGACCCCGCCCCGCTCGGCATTGCCCGGACCGTTGCAGCTTGTCTTCTGCTTTGCCTTACCTTGCCTGATCTTGGTCTTCCGATCACCCGTGCAAGAGACTAGCCGTACAAGAGAGAAAATTCGTGTCAGCACGGAATTAGTCGAATCAGGATTTCCGTACTCCGTACTCACTGACTTGGGATTCCTATCTGTAGGTAGCCTGCACTGCCTTCGTGTCAGCCTGTTATATATACTACTAACAGTTATTTTAATACCAACATCAACACGGATGACCCAACCAACAGTACAGCATCGCCTCAGTCTCCCGACACGGTATAGATGACTAGTACTACTTACTGACCGACTGATTCATTTTCTGGATGTGTACAGTACACTACAGCCGGGTTACCCAGCCTGCTGCTAAACGTCAGGAAATATCTTCCAAGTCCCTACTCACCCGGTCAAGTAAGTCAACGGCATTGATCCACCATCTGCTACCCGGTCGGTCCCCACTAACTGCCCTCCCCCGTCTTCCCACCCCCTCACTTGGGACCGTACCCGCTCCCTCCCGGTGGTCTGGCACATTCGATGAGTATGCTGGTAAGTGGTGTGACAAGCCTGTCGTCCTTCGTTCCTCCTCTTCTGATCGTCATCATTCAATCAAACGGCGAATACTCCATTAGACCTACTGGCAATGTGGATGTCTACGTCGCTGTCAGTTTTCCTGCTTCGTGGTCCCCTTGACGTCAACTAATGCGGGGTAAAGGGCCACAGCCCTTTTGGACCACGGCCCTTTTGGACCACGATCAAGCTGATGCAGGTGGGTTGGACGGACCGGACGGAGTGATGGATGCACTTCCATGCCGGCTGGGATGAGAAAAGAAAGCCTCGGCTCATACCTGGCAACCACCAAAGCACCCTCCCTCACCCGCTGCACAGAGTCAGAGCGGCAGACATGCACGCAGCTCACTACCAGGTACCCTCAGAGAACTACATGTACTGTGCATGACCCACCTACTGCACTGTAACTTGAACATCCAGTCCAGTGCATGTCACCTTCCGCCCGCGAGACGCAGCAGGACGACCAGTAGCATGAGTAAGTGACAGCCCTTGCAGCAAAGTAAGCACAACGCAACCCCCCACTCGTCATTGACACTGACATCGACTTGTGGCGGCCGGTGGCGCTCAGATCATCCTTATCCTTACGTCTTATTGCTGTACATGGTATGTGTTATCTTCCGGCAGAAGGGTGGTTGTCTCGCTTATGCAACCAGGATCGGCGTCTAGACCTGCCTTGGTCTTCCCGCTTTGCGGGTGGACTGGCTGGCTGGCTGGCTGGTTGACTGGTTGACTACTAGTAGTGACCTGTCAGTGTTGGCTGGATGGCTGGATGGCTGGCTGCAGATGATCTGCTCTGCGTTCGCCTTGGGGGGCGATGCAATGCGCTGCGCTGTGCTTCGGGGCGCTTCGGAGTTGTGGCTGAATTGGAGGGGTCTAGATTGGGGGTGTTGGGTTGGTTTTAGAGATGCTTACTGTAGGGTGCGGTGTGGTGATGGGTGTTGCTTTGGGGAGTACGGTACATCTTCTGAGATGCGGGAAATTGGGCGGGGAGATAATACTCATTGTAACTACCTAAGCTCTAAGGTCCAGCTCGCGGGTTTCTGGGTCTAAGTAAGTGGGCACTGCCGGGTTTACTGGTTCGAGTCTTTCCGGGCCCGGCTTGTTGGCGGGGTTTGGTTGTTTGGGGGTATATGTGGGCTACACGGGGCAAGGATCAAGAGCGGTGCTATGATGTTCGAGCTTGGAGCTTGGACGGTGGGATTTGACAGGTGAGGGGGGTGGATTGATTGATGGGGTATAATTGTATGGACTATTGGTAAACTTATAGGTCCAGTGGGTTACTGGGTCGTTATCATGTGAGAGCTGAGTGGAGGACAGGGTCGAGACCGGTCGAGGCGGCGGTGGGGTTCATCCCTGTCGTTCTAGACTTTTCTTGATCAGGATGGGCGCGAGGGTTGATAGGTTGATACTGGTGTTTGCGGTCGTTGTCTGGCTTGGCGGGTTGAGAATTGGTATAATGACTTGGATGACTTGCGCTTTCTGCTCTATATGCGGTGATAAGATAAGCTTTCATGTCGTTGTGGCCGGTCAATTGATGCTCGGCAGTAAATAGAGGTCTCTTGGTGATTATGTGGTTACTGGTCTCTGAGGAAACACCTTCTTGAGTCGTCGGTAGTGCATCTTAGCCCATAGCTCGTTTGCTGCAACCATTGTCTATCAGACTATCAGATATAAGTCAGAAGCAAAACAATGGGCCACAGAGTATGAGGGTACGGTACATCGCAAGCTCCCGAGTCTGACTTCACAACTTCTTCATATCGCAACCATATGGACAGCACCACGATTCACGCCTCTAGACCATGTGTGCTTCGCAAGAGCTTCAGGAAGGTCGTGGGAGGTTTAAGGAAGGCGCAACTAACTCGCCTCATCTCCAAAATGCAATCGCTCAAACGTCCCTTCCTTAGCGAGATGGCACCCACGCGCATACAGTCTCCACCCGCCGTGAGCGTCACTCTTCCAAGCCACATATCGATTAGCGAGTATCACAAGTCCTTGATATAGGTACTTTCGCAGTTTTTCCAGTTGGAATCAGCAATCCTCCGTCGTGAGAACAATGGATCGCTTGCGAAGATCCAAATCTGCGCGCTCCGTCCGGCGAAGCCACCGCAGCTCCGTCTCCAGCGACACCTCCGATCCTGTTGTAGCGCGACAACACGCCACGACAGCTGCCTCTCTTGCGATGTTGCGCTCCAAGTGCTCTTATGACGCTCTGGGCGGCCCTAAAAGCATGGCAGTACCCTCGAGAAGACACCGATATACTAGATCACGGCAAAACGCAAGCAATGTCCCCGTGGACAGCGCATCTTCTCGTCCCTCAGTCACCACGGACTTCAGCACACACGATGAGGACTACACGTCTGCGACGCTGCCTTCCATTAGCGAGTTCCAAGGGTTTGACAGCCAAGACTATTTTCTGCCCTCGTCTTATAGACGTCTGCGCAAGTCGCGGTCCATGTTTGCCACTGGACAACGTTGCTCACGCATGTCTCACGGACTTTGCTCCCCCTTCAACGATACTACGACTTGTGAGGGCGATCAAATCTCGCGAACGACACGCACTTATGGCACCTTGCGGCGTTCAATGTCTTTTCTCCGCGGAGAAAAGCCGTCGGCTGGTCCGCTGCGCCATGTGCAGAGTCATGACACGGCAATTGACCTGGCGCGCAGTCAGTTTCAGCAGCAGTCGGCCGACGACTCCCCTCAGACGGAACAGCTGCGGCTGTCTGTTCCTAAGACTCGTCGAGAGCATGGAGCATTCAGGAAAACGCTTCGTCCGACCACATCAGCCGCGGCTGCTGCCGGCACGCCTTCGGCTCCTCAGCCCAGAAGCGCTCACTCTTATGGAAAAGCGAGATCTCTCTCTTCGTCCATCAAGAAGGGAATCAAGAAGGTCTTGGGTCTTGCAAGACCATCTGCGGGCGAGGTCGAGGCGCAGGAGGTTTCTCCATCCCGCCAGGACAAAACACAGACGAGTGCCAACGAACTGAGCACTAGCTGGTTAACGCACAGCCCCCACACCCCACTCACGACTTATATTGAAACCGATGTACACACGAAGCAGTATCCAGCAGCCGAGGTTGCTGAAAGCTCGGAAAGCTTGGCTACGAGCCGCTCGCGCGTAACAAGCTGGGCAGACTCGACCGTTGCCAATACTATCGTGACCGGCAACATTGGTGGTCGAAGCCATTTGTCGGTAATTGAAGAGAAAGTCCATTCGGAACAGACCCTTGCAGGGGCTCCGTCCTATGAAAATAGCCCCATCTCCCACAGTAGCCCTGTCAGGCCATCCAGCAAGATTGACAGCCAACGATTGTATTCCGCTTTGATGAGAAGGATCGGCGAGGGCAAGGCACCGGATGCAAGCGAAAGCATTGCCTTTGGTCATGTCAAAGAGCATCGCATCGTCCCGACGCCTGCTGCCTCAGTAGCTGTGCGTCATAATGGGCAGACCGTTCGGATGATTCCGAGTGATGAATCCATCCCATCATCCAAGTCCTTCATCACTGCAGATGCCGGTACGGTGACTCCGCCGCGGCGGTCACAGTATCCTACTCAATGCCTCCCAGAGTCCTCCTGTCCTGACAAGAGTCATTTGAGCACCTCCTTGATCTCTGGTAACAAGGGCATTGCACTCTCAAGGGCTAGCAAGCCGCCTATAGAGGTAGCCACTGGACACCTGGGCACCCTCGACCAACAGGGTCCGGACGCAGCTTCCGACTCTCCCAGTGTATATTCTCGCTCCACCGGCGGCAAGTCGCTCGATCCAAGCAACGGCGAGGTTTCCTCCCAATTCCCCGACGAGCCAGGAACGGCTACGATCTACGACACTCACCGAGCCACCTACTGCTCCCCGAAGTTCTATCCGAAAGTTCAAACACGTCGAGCATCGGCCCGGCCAAGCGCGGACTGGAAGCACTGGATGCACACGGAGATTGCGAAGATTGAGAATCTCAACCCCATCCAATCTCACTATCGCGAGAATGCACAAATACAAAGCGATGAGGACGATATGTTCGGTCAAGCTTCTACTCGCTGGATCGAGAGAGCTCAAGGAGGTGTTTTCATCGACGATGATATGTGGTCGGATCGCAAGGTCACTTCGACTAGCAACTTTTCGCGTCCCTTCAGCCGGTCGTCAAGTGTTCAAACAGTAGTAACCACAAAGAAAGATCAGAACGACGGACTGGTACCCCCGCCGCTGCCCTCCAGACCGATATCTCCAAGCTCTACCTACCATGCGGGTAGGTATGGCCCCTTCCAGAGTCAAATCGATTCTCGCAGGGAAAGTACTGCATTGTCGCCCATGCAGACAATTCCAACCAACCGCTTCCGGATGCCTGAGTCACCCACACCGCGAAGAGACAAATCCGGGGTATCATCTCAGAAGATGGCGCGTAGCACGTACGGCAGACATCCGGCCAGGTGTCCCCCTGCAGCGCGAGATTCCAAGTCCCTGCATAATCGGACGGGTCGAGGATATCGCGACCACCGACAGCTGACCAATGAGAACATGAAAGTCGAGAGCGATTATCATGACTTCAAGGGTCAGGATACTCCATCACCAAATTCATGCTCGCCAATATCGAGCAAGCGTATGGTGGAGGTGTTTTTGGAGAGCCGACGACGCCAGGCTGAGGTGGAAGCGACTGATGGGGGTGCTGTGAGTGCCTTCATCTAGAGGTTTTGGTCCTGGAGATATTGTTCTGCAAAAGACACTTATACCTTGTGCTGATGAATTGTTTACGAGCCGTGGCTTTTGTTCTTCCATAGATGTATGTATGCATGCTCTTCAGGGTGGCTATGGATAGTTAGTGCTATGAGCGATGGATAATCAAACACGCCGTATATGTTGGTGCCATGGGTTCAGAATATCCTTATCTGCTATATCTGTTTTTCTCTGTGTTCAGGAAGAAACAGGAGTCAATGTCAATTGGAAGAGTCAGGGGAGGTGTTGGTGTTTAGTAGTTGCTTAGCGGCGGGCCAAGCAGGCTGAAAGGGACTGAGAGGGACTGAAAGGGACAACAATGGCGGCCAGCCCAGCCAGGCTGAAACATTAACTAAAGGAGTAACTTACTAGGAAGTACCTAAACTTACGACCACTTCCTCCTCCACTTGTGGCTGCGTCATCTTCTTACTCCCTCCTCTCTCTTTCTTGCGTCTAACTGGCATCCTTTTTTCTTTTTCTTTTTCTTTTTCTTTCCTTTCTCCCTCTCCTTTGCTTCTTTTGATGACATAGGAGGGAAAGATTTCTTTTTACTGCATTCTATTATTTCCTTAAGACTGTTGTTCCCTTTCTAGATGGCCCACCAGTGAACCTCCCCTTCGTTCCCCGTTCCCCGTTCCCCGTTCCCCTCGTTTCGCTCCCCTCTTTTCCCCCCGAGGGGCCACGCGGCACGATGCAGTCCATGCAAAGGCAATTTGGCCGCTTCATGAAGCGGTCCGCCGACGAAAGCCAGGTCGCGATTCTGCTCAAAGACTTCGAGGAAGCTGACAAGCTTCTGGGCCGAGTATGTAAACACGCAAGCTCTCTCCCCCGCAGCAGCACAGGAACTAACTTTCGGCCACCCGCCGTCACTCGCTCCCCTCAGATCATCGAATTCACCAGCGCATGGCGCGATGCCTGGTCCTCGCTTCTCATCCACCAAAATCGCATGCTCGCTGAATTGAGCGCCCTCTATGCCCCGATCCTCGGTTCCTCCGACTCCTCCACCGGTCCAAAAGCGGCCCCGACGCCACGGGAAACCCTGGCTCGGACAAATAAGCTTCGGGAACAATACGAGGAGCTCCGGAGAGAGCTGCTGGCCGACATCACCGCCGTGGACGAGCGGATGATCAAGCCAGCAACCCAAGCCAGGGAATACCTGATTCCGATGAAGAAGACGATCAAGAAGCGGGATGATCGTAAGGTGTGTTTCTCAGCCACTTTTCACTCAACTGGGTCATGCTGATTGGGGTTGTTCCAGCTCGACTATGAACGCTACCAGAGTCGCGTGGATAATTACACCAAAAAAACGAAACGGTCGGATCGCGACAATGCAGCCCTCGTCAAGGCTGAGGGTGACCTTGCTAAAGCAACAGAGGTAGGTCTCCACCATTCCTTGCCTCGCATTGACGTGGTCTGACAGGAGCAGGACTATAACGCTGCGGATGAGCACCTCCGGCACAGTCTCCCGCCGCTGATCGCCGCTGCCTTCTCCCTGCTCCCCCGTTTGCTGGCCACTCAGATTGAGCTCCAAAACAATATGTTGGCGCATTACTACACCGTGGTGCTGGAGTACAGCCAGGATGAACAATTCCCGGTCCCCGCGCCGCCAATGGAGCATATCGTCGAGGACTGGGAGCGCGCCCACCTGCCCGTCCAGCAGGAAGTCGAAAGTTTCGCTAGCATCGCCAACGGCAAGACCGTTCGCCTGTCCCCGGTGGACGAACATCAACGCAACAGTCATAATTATCTCAGTCGCCCTGCGAACCTCATATCTAGTTACTGCCGCTCACCTGGCGCCCACGAAGAAACGCCGCCCCCAAAACCCCCACGGCCCGTTTCCCCAAATCCCGCCGCGGTGCAGCGCAAACTCCCGCCTCCAGCGCCTCCGGCTGCTCAGACAAAGCTTCCTCCCATGCCACCACCGCCCGCCTACGATACCAAGCCCCGACCGAATCTCGAAACAAAGCCGAAACCCATACCTCGACCGAAACCGCAGCTGTCGAGCATGCCGGCCGCCTCAACGTCTTCCCTCAATCTACCCTCGAGCTCGAGTCACCATCTCTCCCCGCAAGCATCGGTGGCCCAGCCCTCTGCCTCGTCTCCCGCAGCTGAATCGTACGTCTCTGCGGCCGAGTACATCCGTTCCCCTTCGCCGGGCGTGTCTACAGTCGCTTCACGAGCAGACTACTTCAGTCGAAATAGCAACAACAATCAGCATACGTCACCCTCTCCAGCATCGGCTGCGGCAGCGGGGTCTCCCGGGCTATCTTCCGTTGCGGCCCGTGCGGACTACTTCAGTCGGTCCGGCAGTAACATCCAACTTCCGTCCTCAACCCCAGTTGCATCGACATCTTCCCTGTCGCCTGCGGCGGCGGCAGGTATCTCTCCTGGCTTATCCTCCGTTGCATCCAGAGCGAATCAGTTCAACCGCCCGAACAGCAGCAACCGCCAGCCATCTCCCTCGCCATCCCGTGCGGCAGTGTCTTCCGTAGCGGGTAAAAAGAAGCCACCTCCACCTCCGCCGCCACGCCTGAATTCTCAGAATGCGCTCTTCGTGACGGCGCTGTATGATTTTGGGGGCCAGGGGGCGGGGGATTTGTCGTTCCGGGAGGGCGATCGGATCCGTGTTCTGAAGAAGACGGAGAGCACGGACGACTGGTGGGAGGGGGAGCTGAGGGGAGTAAAGGGGAGTTTTCCGGCTAATTATGTGGAGTGATTGGGCAGTGGTCGAGGAGAGTATAAGTTAAAAGTAGTAATCACATGCATTGTAGGAGTCGCTTGATTCGTGATGCTCTTATTTCTTGGATATTGCTTTGATCATCATATGTAACAGTCAAGATGCTCTAACGCTATTTGGCGCTGAAGTGGGTTGAACACGCAGTGAGAGACGGACAGTAAACAGGAGTTCATACTCAGCTCGGGCACGGGACTGACAGCCTCAGGCGCGTCTCGGCCGCGATCTTCCCGCTTAAACTTATCTTTTCTCCGCGTCCGCTTCTCCAACTTTCCTCCAACCACCACCACCTTATCCAGTTCCTTCACTCGCATCCATCACCAACCGTTCTACAGCATATACGGCATATACAGCATCTCCCTCAACCCGCAACCTCCACCTCACCTCGAGAACAACAAATCCGATGGTCCCTCAGAACAGGGTCCCCAACCCTGGACAGACCCTTCCCCCTCCCCCACCACCACCTTGAGAGCAGCAACACAGCAACACAGCAGCACCACGCACCCCAACCTCACAATCAGCCAACCAACCCACCTACCTATTTCCTCAGCATACAAAATGACCTACCCCTCCACCCCGACCCCCTCGGGGTTCCCCCCCTCCTCCTCCGGCCTATCCTCCACCACCTCCCCATTCACAACCCCACTCACCCAAAACACCGCCCCGGTCATCAAACACCGCTGCCTCTTCACGCACGACACGCGCCGCAAGGCCAAACGCTGGCAGGACGGGTACCTGCGCTACCACACCTTCAACAAACGCATCATGGCCTACGACACGAGCGGCAACTTCATCGGCGATCTGCACTGGCGCCAGGACGCGGCCGTGCAGGACGGCGACGAGCTCGAGCTGGATCGTGGCGTCTTGGTGCAGGTCTGTGAGGCGGTTGGGCGCTCGGAGACGGATCTGGGGGCTTTGCTGTCGCATTCACATCCGACTTCGCATTCGAATGGGGTGGGGGGTGGAGGGAATGGGAAGAGAGGGTTTGGTGCTGCGAGTACGCAGGGTTCGTTGGCGGGGTCACAGCAGCAACAGCAGTCTATGCGGTCTTTGAATGATTTGCTGGGGATAAAGAAGACAACGCCGGCTTTGGGGGGAAAGGGCTCGGGGACTTCGGGGACAGCTGCGACGCGAGTTATGCAAGGTCCGGATCGCGGGGGCGGAGAGCTGTCGGCTGCGCGTGCTGCGAAACGGCAGAGGGTTGATGGTAGTTTGGGTTCGGGTTCGGGTGCTGTGGAAGGAGGATTGTTCGCGCAGCAGCAGGTCCCCTCTCGTCGTGTACTGGCTCAGCCGGTTCAGCCTCGACCGCGGCCGGCGGTCGTTGACTTGACGGGTTCGTCGACTGCGCTGGTGACGAATCCAGGTGCTACTGCTACCGCGACCGCTACATCCACAAGGCTGCAGAGCCACGATCTTGGACGACAAAGAGCCGACCAGAGAACAAGTGTACAAGCTGCTACTACGAGGAGCATGTCTCGCGAAGAGGGGAGTACCATTCCTCCTCAACGACAAGCTTTGCGCAATCAGAACAGCAATCCTCCACAGCTACCGTCGTCACGCAAAGAGAGCAGCTACCCTCTACCACAACCACAAGCAGTCCGCGATGAGAACAGCAATCCTCCACAACTACCGTCGTCACGCGAAGAGAGCAACTCAGCGCCAGAAGAGCCACCCGTCCTTCTCCGACTCTCGACCAGCAAACCCCGCAAGAAACTCATGTACTCGGCCCTACTCCCCGGTGGCGGTGGAAAAGTCGCCAAACCAGCTTCATCCGCACCAGCACCAGCACTAGCACCAGCCAAAAACAACAACAACCCTCCACCCCCCGCACAACCACCCACAACCACCACCGCCACTCCACCAAAACCCCATGACTTCACCCCCTCGACCTCAACCCAGACCATCCTCAACGACCTAATCACCGCACCACCACGCGTCCCACCCAACCCAACAAACCACACTCCCACAACCACAAAACCAAACATAAACCCCCTCAACCCCATTAACCGCAACCCAAGATCGAACATCCCAACGCACACCAGCCTCCGCAAATCCTACTCCGACCCCACCGCCCTAACCACCACCACCGTCCACAGACCCAACCATACAACCCTCCCGGACCCCGCCGGCGACGATCCCTTCGACCAAGGGCCCTGGACCCGCGAGGCCCTGGATCTCTTTGATTTCTGGCCGGCGGGGCGGGCGAAGCCTGCTTAGTTGACCCCCATCCAATTTATTAAGTTGTTGGGGGGTTGATGGGAGAGGATGAGATGGGGGCTGGGTGGGTAACAGAAGCGGAGCTGTACGGCTATATATGCAGCATGCCCTGCTCTGTCCTGTCCTCTGCAGGATGGGAGTGGATGGATATAGTTGGTGGATGAAGACATTCTCTTCTTCTGCAGGAGGGCGTTGTTTACTCTTATACTATTTTTGTTTTTGTTTTTGTTTTTGTTTTTTTTCGATGGTTTGATGACCTATGATACCCTTTTGCATTGATTACGATGATAGATTATATCTGTGTATACATCCAACCAGCCATACCACAATACCTTGAAACACGAACATACCATAGCTGCATTACTTACCTGGACCATAGCTTATCCGTTACCTGAGTGGGAGAGACAATTCTCCCTGTTATATGCCTGTGCACTGCAGCTCGGGGCCGAATGTAAGCCATTCCGCTAGGTATACATACCTCACCCACTCGAAGTACACACACATCAATCACACATTACAAACCTACAAGAACACAACTTCAATCAACCACGATCTATTCGTGTCTGTGCGCATGTGGCAATTCATTTAGTAGCAGGAAGTATTTCCGAGTATACAGTCAATCAGTCAGCCCAGCAGGGAAATACAAGCAGTAGAATGCTTTCTTTCAAGAAGTGTCAGTGTCAATTGCCTCAAGCCAGTCAAGCAACGGATTAATCCACAAAAGAACAAAAAATGTCACTGTCAATAGTGCGATGTGGTAAATGTAGGTGGTTAGGTTAAGTTTGTAAGTTGGTTTGGTTAAAAGTTAGGTGGTGGGTAGTTTTCATGCGACGGAAGAAAGCGCAGCGCAATGAATAAACCAAAAGGAAAAACACGGTAAAAAAGAATGACAAGAATATCAAGAAGCCGTCCGGGCACCGAGAGTGGAGGAGGTGAAGGAGGGATGAACGGGGCTGCAGTGCCGCCCGCGTGGGGATTAAAATAGAGTAAATATAGAGAGACAAAGAGGGGAGCCCGGGGAGGGGAAAAAACAAGACGAGACAAGTTCGCCCCTGACGACCAAGGGTATGCAAGTTCCAGACGCTCAGTGTGCACTTATTCAAACTCCAGACATTATAAAGGTACTCCCGTGGGGTTCAAAGTACAATGACAATGGCGATGCAATGAAAGAGATTCGTGCAGAACGAAAATTCAGGCCAATGGATAGCCCGGCCGATCGACGCGCGACGCAACTCAACTCCAAAAGTGGAGGTTCAATGATGGGAATGAATCCGGTTCACCCGCGGGCTATATTTGCTTGTCCTAGACAAGGCACTGACATCGTGTTTGCCTGGTCAAGTTAGCTGGTGAACAGTCATGACAAGTCAAGGGGTATACATACCATCACAACAAGCTCGCACATTCTCGAGTCGGTCACCCTGGCTTTCTTGCCTCTCCATCGTGTGCCGAAAGTCATCTTGGCTGTCACGGGTGTGAATGCTTCCCTCATGGACACTCGAGCTGGCATAACGAGAACCCTTGCGGCCAAACGACCCCTTGATCGTCGTGTTCAGGATCGTGCTGAGGCGGGAGCTAGACCCGTTCCTCTGCTCGGTAAAGGACGAGGGCGAAGCAAGCGAAGGAGAGCCTCGACCCGGCGTCAATGTGCGGCGCGATGAGATGGTGGAGCCGGCCCGCTCCTTCGGCCAGTTCCGTGCATTCCGACTGCGTGAAGAGGAGAAGGAGAGTCTCGAGGTCTGGCGAGAGCGTGAGCGGAACTCGGGATTGAACTCATCGATGTCTTCCAAAGAAGCGTTGCTTTGATGCTCTTCGCCATTCTCTGCCGAATTGCGCAGCAGGAGGTACGACAGTGCATTGAACCACGTCTCGTGCCGCTGGCTGGTGGTTGCTGTGAACCGAACCCGGCGGCCTGGGCTAACCACCTCCAGACTCCTGCAGTGCAGACCAGGAGGATAAGGATTGTCATCAGGAACGACCCTGACAGCCTCGATAGGAACACTCTTGGTCTTCAATTCACGTGTGCCAGCGGTCTGGGGATCTTGCGCACTCCAATACAGCGTACGTGTATAGGGGTGAACCCAGAAGTAGCGTCGGTGTCGAGTGCTGGAGACCTCCCCAGTGACAGTCTTGCGAGTATACTTCCAAAGGAATTCGCCAATCATCGTTTGCGTGATAGCCTGGATCATCCTCGGGTCCGTACCAGCGGCATAACCCTGAGGGCCGATGGGCTGCGCAGCAAATCGCTCATCGATCTCAGAAGCAAAGGATGACACCGATGACCTCCGTGAGATGTGACTGTGACTCTCGCTTCTGAGTTTGACGCGGGAGGTCGTGGTAGACATCGAGTTGACTTGGATTCCCGACTCGTTGGGAGTTCGCGGCCGCTGGCTCACATTGGTTCGGTGAGCGGAGGCCGGGGCAAGGGGCGGGCCCATCAAGTTCGGAGAAGATGGCCGTTGGTCCAATGATCGTTTCTCGGCCGCCATGATAGCCTCCTTGTGGTCGGTGGGCAAAGGCGGGTGGCTCTGGATGCTTGAGGTATGGCTAAGCGAACTGCCCGGCCTGAGCTGATGGGATGGGAGAGAGGATTGAGAGGACTGATGAGTGGGACGAGTGCGTGCTCGGGGTGTGGCAAACGGTGAGGTGTTCTGCTCCTTGGCCTTGTCACTGTCCGGAGGAGATAGTGGCCGGGTGGTGACACGATCCATGAGAATCTGGTCAATCTGCTTCGACGACAGGATTGTTTGGGCACCCTGGTCAGCCCGTTCCACCCGACTCGATGATTGCTGTCGTGTGTGGCGTGGGACAGCATTGCCAGAAATGGTGCTTAGAGGCAGAGTGGAATCTGGCGTTCCGTTTGTACCACTAGCCGCATTGTTGCTTGGATTATCATCATTGACAAGAAGCAATGGCAATTCGGAAGTAGGGAGACCCTTGACCATTTGCATGCTGTGCTCCGGTGGCGCATTTTCATCGGTCAGCTGAACCGGGGGCACAACAAGAGCCGTCGGGACATGTTTGACGGGGATCGTTTCCACCGCGCGCACCCCAGACAGTGAGATTTCAGGAGCTTGAACCGCTGGTGCCTCGTGCAACTGTGGTGTAGCTGGTTCCGTGCTTTCCGATGCAATGACAGAAAGATTCAAATCTGGAAGCTTGGGCTCGGCAATCTCTCGCTCACCCGCAACTGCCAATTCCGGCTCAGCCGGTGCGTCCAGAGTAGCCACAATGGGCTTGGTATGTTGCGAGAAGATTGACGATACACCCAGCTCTGGCAGCTCGACTTCCTGAGCTTTCTCCACGATATTCTCGGGCTCTGGGTCTACGCTCCGCTCAATTACTGCCAGGACAGGCTCCGTCTGCTGAGCGACTATCGACGATAGAGTCAGCGGTGGAAGCTCCGGTTTGACTTCGACGCGCTTCTCAACAATCACAGGCTCGACCACCGGAGTAGGTTTGGGAATGGCCGCGACAGGCTCAGTGTCAAGAGAGTAGAGTGGTGAGACGGTGAGCTCCACACTCTCGGTGTTGGTGCCATGTTCAGCAAAGACGACCACTGGCGCAGGTTCAGGGAGGGCTGCCCCAACAGGCAGGGTATGTTGAGATGAAAGTGTCGACATCGCCACATTGGGAACATAGACGGGTTCGGGTTGAGGGACACGCGCAAGGATTGGCTCAGTAGAAGCGGAGGTGATCAAAGACAATGCCACCTTTGGCGGGTCAGGAATGACGGATGCAGCGGGTTCTGTCGTGACTCCAATAGCATACGCAGTGTCCAGATGAGGGCGCCTCGGCGAAGATGGAACAGTCTCCTCAGAAGAGACAGATGAGACTTCCAACTGCAACTGAGCAGATGGTTGCTCTACTTCTCTCTGGGTCTCAGCGATAACTGCCTCAGATTCAGGAACGATCCACTGGGTTGAAGCGTGCACCAGTTCAGGCGCTTGCTCTTGCTCCATCGCAGTGCCGGCATCAGATGTGGCTGGTTTCGAGGAAGACACTGGTGCGTTGTTGACCGTTTCCTCGGTAACAGGCACAGCAGTGACTGCAGCAGGCACAGCGGGCTCCCATGGATCCGTCATCATACCAGAGTCAACCATAAGGGGCTTCGAGATGGTATCAAGAACAGCTTCTGATGGCCGTCTGGAATCGTAAGCGGCGAGAATGCGCGGAGTCGAGGCCTGTGATGCCGTGTCGAAGCGCATCGGAGGTCCAAAGTCACCCTCTTGGTCATCATTACCATCCAACTCAGCAAGCTCCATGAAAAGGCTCTGTCCCTCTGGGCTTGCTGAGCTTTGCATGAAGCTTGTGGCTGGAGATTCGCGAGCGGTGGAGGGCCTGCTATTGGAAGCCATGGGAGCCTCGCCAGAAGGACGGATCCTCCTCACGATACTCCTCTTGTTCCTCACCCTGTACCTAGGACTAATTTGACTAGGCGATGGGAAGCCTTCCTCGTCGATCACGTCCTCGTCACTTGAGTTGGAGGCAGTGCTCTCGTAAGCCTTCCTGTCGCGGGTCTTGGTCATAGTGAAAGAGGACACGCGCCCGCGTGGGGTTCTCTGCAGCCGGTCATCTGTCTCCGTGAGCTCGCCGCTATCCGAGCTATCATCAGCCATGCTTTCTAGGCCAGTCTGGAAGGCTTCGCTTTCCGTGGCTGTTCCTCGTTCGGTGGCCGTTTCAAAGTTGTCGTCGGCTTCGGTAGCGGTCTGGTACGCATCGCTCGGTTCTTCAGATGACCGTCCTCCCATACGGGCTCGGGACGCCTTGAGAGCAGCTTTATGAGAGGGACTGGCGTCGGTAGCGTTGTCTTCCCAGTCCGATTCATGGATTTCAATCTCCGCTCGCTTTCGACCAGCACCCAGCAGATCGGGCCGTGCGGCCTTGCGTGCAGGGTCAGGCTTGGTCTTCTGGCGTTTGCTGGACGGACCGGTTGGCGCAGCGGACTCTCGGCGCTTCGTTTCAAGTTCATCGCGGGCGTCCTGCAGCATGCGCTTCAGGTCAATCTTCTCGGTCTTTTCGCGATGGATAGTGCTCTTGAGATTCTGGATCATGCGGTGGGCATGACCGAGCGAACTCTTCAAGGTCTCCGTTTCGAGATGGTTGTGTCGCGGCGTGAATTTGTTGGGAGACGGCGGCGGGGAGTTCTCGGGCGTCGAATGGTCCTGGTCGTCTGAGTCTTGATCCCGATTGACTTCCCGGGAGAGCTCTTGTTCTTGCTGGCGAAGGCGCATGGCCACTGCCCTGGCGAGTTCCTCATTCTGGGAGTTCAATTCTTCGAGTTTCTGCTGTAGCGCAAGCTTCTCGGTATCACCAGCATGCACATGGCGACGCAAAACGTGAATC